ACCACTGATCAGAACAGATACTACACTCGATCTCAGCCAAAAGGCCGAGAGAGGTATATCCCTTCCTATTTAAGATTGGATGCGGATGTTATTCTATGTCAGCAGCAGTAGTCAAGCCCGTCGAGTCGGGATAATTGTCACAGGAGCGTGGTCGTCGGCTGGTGAACAGCGACGCCAAGTCGTTGCTACATCCGTCCCCTCTGGTTTATCTCCTGTAACAGACGGTCTGCTCCTCAGAAGAGTAGAGAAGAGAAGAGACTCTGAGGAGAAGGGAAGAGAAGAGGTGAGAGGCGAGGAGAGGAGAGGAGCGGAGAAGGGAAGAGGGGTGGTTATTATCTTCAGATCGGCCATCGAATTCTCGTAACTGTGGTGATGGCAAGACTCACGTCACTGGCCGAGAATGTGGTCACGGGGGCAGTCCACGTTCAGGCCATCGGCTCCTTGTCTTTGTGGTTGACAATGTCTCTTCTGGTGCTGACGGGGATTAGCACAGATGGGAACAGAGACCATCACGGGGTCGGCTATGGAGGTTCGCGGATCGTTCTCGCTTTTGCATCCCCGACACAATCGAGGAAGCTTCTGGCGATGGGCGGAGGAGGAGGAGGAGGAGGAGGAGGAGAGCGAGGTCATCGTTTTTCCAAGCTTCGCTTGAGTGAGTCGACGTCAACTTCCAGTCGGACAGGAAGTGTCCATGCAGTTTCGTCAGGCCGTCTTCTGCAGTCTACGATAGAGAGTCAGTGGCTCGATCCGCACAACGGAGCGAGGAGTCACGTGGGTGTGGCAGGACTGACGTGGAGCAACACAGTGGCAAGCTCTGCTGAGAGTTGGGCTCGAACTCTCGCCGAGACGTGCGAGATGTACCACGCCTCGGACAGCGGGTACGGCGAGAATCTGTACATGGCTTGGAGTTCTGGGCCTATTGACATAACTCCCACGGAGGTTGTGCAGTCTTGGGGGGGGGAGCGGGTCGATTACGATTACGAGACCAACACATGCAGGGCAGACAGACAGTGTGGGCACTACACCCAGATGGTATGGAGGAACACCAAAGAAGTCGGGTGCGCTATTACCTCCTGCACGCTTGTCAGAGATGGGGAGACATATAATGCACAGATCGCCGTCTGCCGCTACAACCCCCCTGGCAACTACGTTGGTGAACGGCCCTATTGACCGTCCGATTCGCTTGTCTGAGGCCCTATTGACCACCGTCCGATTCGCTTGTCTGAGGCCCTATTGACCGTCCAACCGATTCGCTTGTCTGAGGCCCTATTGACCGTCCGATTCGCTTGTCTGAGGCCTTATTGACCGTCCGATTCGCTTGTCTGACTTTTTGAGTTTTTGCATCTGCGTTAAGTCGGCGGCTGCGCTATTTGTCTACTGCAACGCAAGCTTGCTAGGGGTGTAGACAGTAGAAGTCACCGTATTCATCCGAATAGAAGGCCCAGTTATTACAGCTGCATGTGGGGCGAATTTCAGACCCAAACCCGCCGCGATAATGACCAGGGCGGCGGTGTATGCAGGTGAAGACAGCAGTGTGATTCCACATATTTTCTTTACGTTGCTCTTCATAGTAGTAGTGTGATTCCACTTATTTTTTTTACGTTGATCTTCATAGTCATGTGTTTTGTTACTCCGGTCTTCAGTCGGGCTTGTTGGGTGGCTTATCCCTGATTAGACTGATTCACATCCGTTTTGGTTCTTTGGTCGGCGGGATTGACACCTGTTTTTGGCTTCCTGTTGATATCCTACTGGTTACAATCCAACGCATGAGGATCATGCGCGTAGCAATCTAATTAAGCGAAGAAATCTAATTAAGCGAAGATATCTAATTAAGCGAAGAGATCTAATTAAGCGAAGGAGGAGGTCGTTACTTTACTTTCCGAGGTGTGCCAGCACATAGACAGATTACGTGGCTAGATTCGTTGTGATCCTCGTCACGTGGGATCCATCATCGTATACTATGGGGATTACATAGGCTGCTGATCACATCTCTAGTCTGATCATCGAGTGAATGATCACCCTCGGTTTTCGTCTCCAGCTTGGTGCGTTTGCTCCCTCATGCCGAAGTCGGGGAAGGGTTCCTGGCACGATCTTCTCCGTGAGCCTGTGTCGTAATTATGGAAGCCTTGGGCACTGGGGCTCAGCCTCACATAGGTGTTGTTATGTGGACATTGTGAAGTCCTCTGGATGTTTTTATTGTCCGGGTTGGCCCTAATGTCATGATATCTGTGTCGATTGAAGAGGACATACAGTCTCCATCTACGAGTGGCAATAGTCAGGTGGCAACTGAGTGTGCTATACAACAACGTGTCAGCTATATCTTCTGTTGTTCTCTTTTCCACACTGGCAAGTCGTTGCTATGTCTGTTGAGTTTTCTCCCTCTATTATTATGCTGTTCTACGCTGGACCGTGCCGTAGTGACTTGAATGTCGTGGAAATCTTCCCCTTAAGCCCCCCCCCCCCCCCCCCTCCCGGGAAAAGCCCAAAGCCTAAGGTTAGGTCATTGGCCAATTTGGCCCCAATCGGATGACCCTTCGTGTTGTAGTTGTATCTCGGTTGTGGCCAATGTTATAAGCTTTCATTACTCTTGTCGTTCCCTGTTTTTTGTTTGTTTTTTTTTTGGTTTTTTTTTTGTTTTGAAACATCCATTTATCATTGCAAGAATATCTCAAAAACGAGGCCGGGGGCCAAGTCCCACTTACGCTGATCTTTCATTCTTGGCCGTCGATCTTCCTAATCTATGGTCGGAAATTGAGATTTCGGGTAAGTGGGACTTGGCCCCGGGGACCTCACAATTCAACCCGGGGCAAGGTCCCACTTGCACGGATTAAGAGATTCTGGCCGTTGATCTTTGCTATCTACGGTCAATATCTCTTAATTCGTGTAAGTGGGACCTAGCCCCCGGAGTTATCCCGGCAGCATCAGCCGGTTTAGCTTATGCAAATTGGTTCAGAAATATAATCGTTGGCAGCATATTCTTTCTAATTCCTACTTAAAGCTATATGTAGCAGCTTGCTCTCAAACTGAGCTACTCCCCCTTGTATTGTTTAACTCCTATTGTCTTCCTCGCTGGCTGGCGCACTACTGTCTGAAGGGTTGCTGACGTGGCAGCCGCCACGTGTCATCGTCGTGGTTGCTGCCACGTAGGGTTAGTCGCCTGTATTTCCATTTCTGCTTGACAAGTACTCGGAAGGAGGATTCAGGAGTGTGGTTGGGGTCGTGATACATACCTGGTGTCTTCAACTTCGTCGTCACGCTGCTGATTGATGACTGGTCTGCTTGTGCCACGTGGCACTGTTGGTCTACATTGTCTTGGACGTCTGGATCTCTGATTGAGGCACGATTATGCTGCTAGGAGGAGGAAGGGCCCGAAGAGGAAGTGGGCGGTAGGGAGGAGACTCTTCCACCCTCTCAAAGTCTATTCTCCCTCCTCCCTCGCTCGTCTATGTATGTAATCTCTCATTTGGGATCATTATTATTACGATTTATCAGCAGCGTTCGTCTACTTTGTCTCTAAGATTGACGACTGATTATCACGACTGGGCACATTGCAGTTTGTTTGTTTGTCGCGCGTGGATACGTGTAGGCTGCGCAGATCAGATCGTGCTTACACGCATCCCCGCGAGGCATTCGCTTGTTTCTGGACAACCAACTACCCAACCATCTAATCACTCTGTGACCCCGCACGCAATTGTTCCTGAGCATGCAAGGTGCTATTACACATTAGACGTTGCATCAACAACAGTGGCTCAAAAAAAAGAATAAACAGCAATGGAATCAGTAATGACGACTACACAGAAGTTTTTAATATGCTAATGGGTGTATCAAAATGACAAACGAAGGCAAGGCTCAGACAAAAGAAAAGCAACAGACATGACATTCATTCATCCATTCATTCGACAAAACGCACAACAACGAGATCGAGATCAACCGCAAAAACGAGTGTGGGCTGAAACCGAGACAAGGATTCCGAAAGCAAAAGAAAACAGGCGAGTCGCCCTGAGTCGAGATCAAAATGTATATACAAAAGCAAAGAGGGAGAAAAGACGAAGAAAACTGCAAATCCACGTCCATCCATCTCAGCTCCCTCTTCCTCTCTCTCTCTCTCCGATGCGGACAGTCCGTCGTCACGCACCAACCCACGAAGTCGTCACCCCACTTAGTCCTCTGTCACCCGTCATGTTCGCCTGCGCACTACAGTCCGGCGTAGCCCCACGTGTCAACCCCAAGCATTTGGCACCAGCTCGTCGGGTCGCTCGACCACTTCAACTCACCTCTTACTTCGCTCATGAGCCGACCCTCACTGATCGCGCTACCCGGAGCTTCCAACAGCTGGTTAAGAGAGCTATCGTATCGCGCAGCCAGAATTTATAGCGTGCATGCATGCGCGAAGCATCACGGAATTGCAAGGACTTAGAAAGGAGATTAGGAGAGAGAGCGCCTACGTTCTGCATGGCTAGACCGCGGCATGGGGGACGTAGCTACTCTCCACGCATCGATCCGAGCATGCAGGCCGCGGGCTAACTAGGCACAGCAAAAGGGGAAGGGAGAACGGGAAAGACGAAGCTCAAGAAAAAAGATACAGTTACAATGACGCCCTCCCAAAATTACAGTTACTTGCAAGATTAAGGGCGCCGACTAATCAGAGCTCCGCTGTAGCCGCAAAAAGAAGCGCGCTAGAAGAAGACGCGCGGCAAAAGAAATCCCGAATTCCTAAATTCCTAAATTTCTAAATTCCTAGCTAATGCAAAAAGAAGCACAAAATCCGAAAAGAAAATCCGAAGTTTCGAGAGCCGTCAAGGCTCGACAAGATTCAAAAAAAGAAAAAAGAAAATTCGAAAAGATCGAAGCGAAAATTTCCGCGCGATCTCCGCGCCTAAAATCCGACAATAGAACAGGAAAGAGGTGACGTCAACCATTACTGATCGCGCCTTGTCGGCGCGCTAGCCACTCAATCGGCCATCTCGGGACTTGCCCGGCCCTGAACCCAGCCGTCCGACGCAAAAGGACGAAGAAGCGCCAAAAGAGAAAAGACGAAAAAGCAAGGACACTGATGCAATTTTCCCTTAATCCCGATCTCCCGTAATTGGCCCAACCTTCCCATCTTAGCTATGTTACCGCGCGTTCATTGAACGCGGGTTTTCCATTCAGAAACTGAACGGAATGAATACGCGTTCAGTGAACGCGACCGAACGCGGAGTTCAATTCCAAGCGGAAAAAAAAAAAAAAAAAAAAAANGAAAAAAAAAAAAAAAAAAAAAAACCACGTTCTCCAAAAACTCCGAAAAAAAAATATGTTATGGAGAAAAATGAAATAAACAACATTTGCCCGATAATCATATCCAAATTCGCTATCAAATTCGAAATAAAAATAGAAAACAGAAAATAGCAAAAAGTAAAAAGAGAATTGAAATTAGTGGGTGAACATGATTTGACACCGCCATCTTTGGCGATTTTTCATTTTTTTTTAACTTTGCAAAATGACTCTAAAATTTACAGACATGTAGCCCATATCATATAGAACTCATAAAAACAAAATCAGAAAAACAAAAATATTTTTAGGTGTCGAAATGTTTTTTTGAAAACAATAAAAAAAATAAAAAATAATTGAACGTGATTCAATTTTGAACGCGAACGCGCAATCCACGTTCAAACGCACATTTGAACGCGAACGCGCGTTCACGACGTTCAAACGGTTACATAGCATCTTAGGACCCCTTATTGTCATCGCGCAGAAGATCGCGTGGAACAGAAATTGGTTCGTCACATATGTGACGCCCAGGGGGTTCCAATCTTAAGCAAGCTCCTGCTTGCTTGAATCGTGACACGTGTCGATCTCTTTTAATCGATCATCACGCGGAGCTTTCTACATTGCCACCAACCGTGCAAAAGAGTGTTGAAGTCATTTAGGGTGGCACACGTGGCTCTATCCTACAATTTCCTCAGGATGGGCTCTCTTCAGTCTGAAGAGGGGATCGTGCGTGTCGTCGTCGTGGCACGCGTCAATCAACCATACGTCAATGTCCTAAGGGAAGGGGAAAGGGAAGGCAATACATGGGGGCATGGCGAGGGGGTGGGTTAGTCGGGAGTGGGGGTAGAAAGCGTTCCAACCCCGCGACTGTCTCTGGAAGCTCCTGATATCGGACGATCCGGTGGAAGCGAGGGGATCAATTACCGCCATGAGGGAGGGAGGCGGGATAGTCGGGATAAA